CAGGAAGGGTGCTCTACCCGAGAAGCTTCTCCCATAATGCTCTGGTGCTGTTACCTTGAGGTGATTGGGACAGTCATGGAATGTTTTATGCTGTCTGTAGTGATCATCCGTTCATTTGAAGGTCTTTCTCATTTAAAGAAACATTCCTCAGTGTAACATTTGGGAGGGGATTTTTTTCCTCTTAACTGGGTTAAAGATGTTCATACCCTTTATTTGTCCCATTCATATAAGAAAGACATTTGAAACTGTTCAGCATTAGCGGTTTGAGTATTTCCATCTACTGTATAACATGCTTTTCATTTTTACATTCTTCTAGAAGAGGTTGGATGTTAGGGGATACTGTTTTTGAGGTTCAACTTTATTATTTTCTGCATTGGAAAATACTTGGGCCATGAGAACTAGGGGGGAAGAAAGAGTTTGAATATGTCTTATTTTTTTCTAGTGAATGTATCTTATCTGCATTGCCCTAAACCGAATGAGAGCTAGCGAGCAAAAAGTGGATATTCACGAATTTGTGGTTGGTGAAGAGGTGGTTCATTACTGTGTACTCATGTGTTTGGGAGTGGGGAGGGGTCCCTGAAGAGCGGAAAGTCCTGAAGTTTAAAACACGTTGACCGGCTTTGGCTCAGGAGGGTGGGGCTGCTTGTGGAAGTGAATCACTCTTTTTCAAGCAATAGTAGCGAGTGGGCTCCATCTGCAGGGTTCCAGGACCCAGGGCACTTAAACAGGAGAACGTGCTGAAGCAGCTTGCACAGTTGCTTCCGTGAGGCTGATTCTGGCTTCAGGATGGAGCATCGGAGTTTTTGGGTTTTTGTTTTTGGAACCTGCTGTTGCGCTTTGTGTGTTTTGTTTTTGTTTTCAATTTGGGGGGGCTCATGGGAAAGAGCTTCTGGACTCTTTCCTTTGTGAACTCCCACTGTGTCCCTGTAAAGTCCCTTTTCTTTCATAATTGTTGTAAGTTACATTTTCATTAAGCCCCATCACATCTTCTTTACTGTAAAAATATTAAAAGGCTGTTTCTAAGTGGGACAGCTAATTCTAATTATTGCAGACATATTTTTGAGATGTAAAAAAAATTTAAAATTAAATGATAAGTCTTAGAGGCGAGTGAGGAATAAAATGGATGTAAACATTTACATGGGATGCATTAGAATTCTGCTGTGTGTATTGTCTTTTGGTTGAAACAAATTATGAACAGTGACTAATAATAAAAAGTCAATACTCAATGATTTAAAATTTGCTTCCTTGCTTCTTATAAGTGGATAGAGAAGCCTTGAATGAATTCTTATTCCAGAGCTTTGAGCTAAACTTACTGACCTGTTAATGTTCCTTTTACACAGAAATCTCACCTAGAAGAATTTGAACAACCTAAAAAAAACTTGTAGTCTATAACAGTCAAAAGTGCAATTGGGAATTTTAACTAATGATTATTAACTCATGCTTACTTCTCCACATGGGTGAATTTTCAAACAAGTCAAATCACATCAAAGTGAAATGTGTATTTAGAGGTGGTCATGGGGTTTTAGTTATAAGCTATTTGTAAATTGTTTAAGTGTATCTGTGACTGGGAAGAGGAAGGTTTGACCAGCTAAAATGAATTCTATTTCATGATCTACTTAATGTGAATTCTTCCATAGAAGTGAGAGTGGCTGGATGTTGGAAGCTATAGGTTTTCTATTGGGTGATCCCTGATACTCCCTTGATTGAGAAGGGGGAGATTGTGAAAGTCCCCTAAGTGAGAAGGAGAAGAGAAGCCTCGGCATTTATCTAGTTTATGCAGAAGTGCCCTTTGGCACTGTTTGATAAGTGACATTTCTGTAATCTTATATGTGGTTTAGTTAAAATGCATTTTTGTTGCTAATATTAAATTTAGTTAACATGTTCATCTGCATGTAATTTCATGTTAGAGGAAAATACAAAAGCTACAATAGAAAAGTTTACCTAGTAATAGACTTCAGGCATTTACTCAACAATACAATGAATAGTGTTGAGATTTGAACTTCAGTCCAGAAGGACTGAGGTAATTTTTTATCACTTTTAAGGGTTTTCCATGCTATTTCCTCCCCTAGTTCAATTGTCCCCATATTTTGAAAATATATCCCTTCAAACCCTCAGGCCAGGTAAATACTACCTGTTTCTTTGGAACTAAAATAAAGACTTTCTAAAACTGCGGCACCTGGGTGGTTCAGTCAGGTAAGCGGCTGCCTTCGGCTCAGGTCATGATCCTGGGGTCCTGGGATCCAGCCCCGCATCGGGCTCCCTGCTCAGCAGGGAGTCTGCTTCTCCCTCTGCCCCTCATCCCACTCTTGTGCTCTCTCTCTCTCTCAAATAAATAAAATATTTTTTAAAAAAAATTAAATCTGTTCAACCTAAGGTAGAAATAAGAGATTTAGGCCTACAGATGACTTTGTGATCATTAAAGGAGTGGGAACTAGCTATAAATAAGTGAATGTGGTAAGACCCTATGGCTCTTCTACCATAGTTGGACAAACTTTTCTTCTCCAGACTTTCTTTTGATTTTGTAGTGAGGATTAGGAAAAGCTTCTGGGATAAAGTTGTGTGTGTGTGTGTGTGTGTGTGTGTGTGTGTCCTTCCTTCCCCAGGTGGAGAGAGGTATGTACAGCTGCTTATAGGAAAGATGCAGAGAGGAGGCAGTAATGACTTCTCTGTCTCTTGGCTTGATCTAAACTGATTTTTGTAACCATGAACCTGCAGTGAGGGCAGATGGATTTTTGCACAGAAATTCCCAGAGGATTTTATTTTTAGGGTTAGTTTCAGCTGTTTACCATTTCCAGAAATTGTAGTTACATAACCCTTGGCATACATAATGCACACTGCCTTGAACTGGGGAAGAACATGAATATATGACCTTTGAAACAATATAAAATGTTAATGGCAGTACATGATTTGGAAAGAAAAAGGAGAATCCAATTGGTTGATGCTGAATTGGATCTTAAAACATGGAGACCTTTCAAGAATTGCATTGTAAATGATCCCCTGGAATATCTGGGTTGGTAGTTTTTTGTTTGTTTTTTGTTTTCCTTTTGAAAGAGGTACTACTGTTGTTGATGAATGAAGAAGTAGGAGATACATAACTTTTAGCATATGCTTGTATTCTGAATTGATGCATTATCCCTTACTCCATTAATTAAAAAACCCAAACTACCACTGCTATTCCCCAGCATGAACTCAAAATGCTGGTTCTGGGATAAAATCCTTTCCCTTCAGGTGATTAATCAATAAAAAGCTTCTTATGAGATCAGGAAAATGTAATGTATAAAACCTCAAGAAACAGGCTTTTAGAAACACTAATTCTGAACCACATTTTGGTCTTTCCACAGTCCCTCCCCTCCTCTGTCAAAGTCCACTTATCTCCCCATATGGTGCTTATAGCTTATAGACCAGTGTTCCTGCCGGAAGAAGTTACCCAGTAAGCATGGAAATGGGAATTCAACTACTTTGAGTAGCTTTCTTGAAAGTAGTTTCAAGGTAGAAGGAAAACCCAGGAGGTAGTCAGCCTAAGAGCTTTTTTCACTTTATACCAGACTCATAGAAGTCATTTTTAATTTTAAAATGAGACAAATGTAGACTACTGGAGATTGGAATTTTAGTATATGCAAAGTAGTTCATGTGAAGGGAGAAAGTAGTGTCCAAACTTTTGTACAGAGTCAGATTTTGTCTTGTAATTGAAAAGATCTCCAAATGGATACATATCTCATAGTAAAGAGGGGGCACAGACTGTACTGTTAGATCTCAAACTCTCTTGTACTAAGCCTATAATTAAAATATTTTAACCATATAGTTGGTATGGGCTAGGCAAGCTGGAGCAGTAGATAAAGTGGTACTATTTTTACCAATTCAAAGCTCAGGGAATTACTGATTTTTTGCTGCTTAATTCCTTACATACCGCTCGAAGATTCATTAATACTTGTTTAAGAAGGAAAGCCCTAAAATCCAGAAGTCTAAAAGGTTTCCTGGGAAAATCTAGAGTAGAAATTACAGGAAGAGAACTCTGAGGAATTGAGTAAATTCTAAATTTGGAAAATCAGAATTATAGTGACTATTATGAATCCCTACTCAGCACTTTGTATGCCTTCACAAAATCTTGATAATAACTGCCAGACAGATACTAATTTCTATTTCACAGCTGAGAAGCAAAGGCTCAAATCAAGTAAATTGCACAAGGGTATAGGTGTAATAAGAGGTAAAGCTCAGATTTGGAATCAGGCTGACTCCAAATTTGGCCGACTGGCTAGCCACAAAGTATCACTGCAGGAATTAAAATAATAAATTAACTTTTAAAGATTTTCTGAATTAGCCTTGCAAATAATAAAATGATCTTAGACCATTGTGGCTTGAGGCAGAGTAAAGAATTCTGATACTTCTACTAAAGGAGGAGAAAAGGGAAGGTGAGTTGACATTTTGTACACGAGGTTGGGTCGAATTTGCTAAAGAGAACATCGTGAGCATCTCTAATAAGAGAAAAGGCCTTGCAAAGGTGACTGTTCTCAACAATCCGTTCAGTGGGGCTTTGCATTTGAGGGTGATAGGCCAGTTCTGGAGGAGAAAGAGGAAACGTCTGGGAGAGGTAAGTTACAAGAGCCACCCTCTGCGGAGGGCAGCGTCCTGTCACTACTAACAGGTGCAGACCCCACCTGCCCCAAGTCCAGCCGGTACTTCGGAGGCGGGGATAGCAGTAAATCACCCTCCCTGTGCCTCAGTCCTCCAAACTGAGGGCGGCCGGAGGCGCAGGCCCAACCCTGCGGAGGCGCCCGGCTCCGCCCGCGGGGTCGGCACAGCAGCCCAGCCAGGATGCGGCTCGCGGAGTCTGGGCTGCGCCGGGCCCGCAGCTACGCAGGTCCCGCGGGGCTGCGGGAGGGGCGGGGCCCGGGGCGGGGCCGGCGGCCGCGGGAGGCGGGGCCGCGGGCTGCTCGCGCGCGCCGCCGAGGCTTCGCGCGCGGTCGCGCCGGCCCCGCGTCCCTGTGCAGCCTCCGCTGCCGATGGGGGAGGTGGAGCCGGGGCCCGCGGGCCCGCTCGAGCCCCCGGAGCCGCCCGAAGCGCCCGCGAGCCGCCTGCCGGGAGGGATCCGGGTCCTGAAGGTGAGGCGGGCGGGCTGGGGAGGGAACAAGAACGGGGAGAGGCCGCCCCTGCCCCGCGAGGTGGCCGAGGTAGCCGGCGACCCCCACGCTGTGTCAGTCTGTCCGCTTCGCCGCCCGGCTGCCCTGCAGTCCGGCTGGGGGCGCCGCGGCCCCCGCCTCGGCCTCTGCGCCTGGGCCCCACCTCGGCCTCGGCCGCCTCCGTCTCCCCTCTGCTGCCCATCCCTGGGCGCGCGCCACCCGTCTCGCAGGCCCACGCCTTCGGTCCGGCGTCCACCCGGCCGCCGCCGCCCACCCGGCTTCTCTGGGACCCGGGGGTCTCCTCGGCCGCCCTCGGCCTCGCTCAGGGCCGGGGACCGGTCGCCCGTGGCCCGAGAGCGGGGCTGGAAGTACGCAGGGCTTTCTCCCCGGACACCTGAAGACATCACCCCAGCGGGAGGATGGCGGCGGTGATTGGCCGGGCGCTGCAGTGTGCTCGGGGCTACGCCGGGTGGAGCGGGCCGACTCTGCCCTCCCGGCTCGCCACCGAAGTTAGGACCCGGCTCTCTGCTCCGAGGCGCCGGCCTGCAAGCTCCACCTGCCCGTCTGGAGAGAGAATCCGCGGAGGAGCTTAATCTCGGGGAATCTCTGGGCGTGTTGCCGCAGGGAGGAGGGGTTCGGCAAAAAGGGCATTCCTGTTTGCGGGAGCCGGGCTAACAATCCAGGGAGACGGTAATGGGGGAGAGGTTATGCAACAGGCAGCTAGCGGGGTTTGGGGGCAGGAATTGGGGGGAGTAGGAGGAAAATGAAAGCAGGATCTGGCAAAGCGGGGAGTGGAGCCTTGAAGGGGATGGCAAGAAGTTTAAATGCACAAGGAATGTAGGGTCGGCAGGGGACGGTGAGGATGGTTTAAAGAAGGGGTTCTGGGAGACTAACTACATGGAGTTTTCTACTGGCCTCTGAAATAGTTGGAGAGGATTTTTCTTCTGTAGGTCAAGGATATAAACTAGATGTCCTTCTGGAGATGAAATAGAATTCCATCTAGAGTTTTAGAAGAGGAAATCAGCAGTATTTAAAACTTGTCAGCGAGACGGAAGAGAGGACAGAAAATTAAGAGGTTTTGGTGTCTTTCAAAAATACTTTGCAAAACAATGAAAATACATGATGTTAAAAAATACATTAAGTAATAAGTTGTTAATTGGAATCAAGGGTGAGCACTGTATATTGAGATTATTTGTAGGACACCGCAAAGATGGGAACACCGAAAAAAAAATAATAGGTGTGAAGCATCTGGTGAATCCATCCATGAAACAGTATAAAATAGAGCTCTCTAAAATAGAAAACATTTTTTTTCTGCTGTTATCTCTGTCTTAATGCAGTGACTTAAAGCAATAACTTTTCATAGTTTACCTTTACTTCTGCATAAACCTTGTACATATTTATTTTAACTTATTTAACCATAAGTTTTAAGTATAATTACTTTAAGGCTCTTAGATATTTATTTAAAACTATAAGGTCATCAAATGTAAATTGTGAATGAACTTTAAAAAAAAAAAGTCCTGCTCTGGCTTATCAGGAAATGGCAGGTCTGAGAGATAGGTAATGCCCTCTGGTCTAGAAGATAACCTTGGCTTTTTTAATAACAACTTTTTGTGGGGGAGGGAGTGAATTGTGAGATGGTAGGAATTGAGAAAGGAGGCTCTTGATTCAAAGGGTGCCTTCCTAGACTTTCAGGAAGGGGTCAGATTTACCGCTGGTTCCTTAGGGCTCCAATCTGGGGACCGTTAGAAAGATTCCAGAAATTAATCTTGATTATAGTACTGGGTTGGTGGTATGGGAGGCTGACAGTGTCTAATGCCCTTGTGTCTCTGGCTTTATTGCCTATGGTTGACACTTTAAATAATCCTTGCAAATAAATGGGATTGGCTATGGAGAACAGGTGCTGTGTGTTCTGCAAACTTAAGTTTCCTTAAGTAGTTGAGTGGTTGAATTTTGTGCCAAGTGAAACTGGAAAAGAATATATAGGTAGAAGTCATAATCTCCTGCTTGTTCTTTGAAAACCCTTTGAAAAAGGCTTACCATTTTTTTTTTGTAATGCTTTTATACTAACTACAAAGTTATGAGCATCATTATTGTCAAATAATACAGATCTTCATAAAAAGGCTAATATAACTAAGCCAATATAATTTAGCCAGATTAGATCTGGGTCCATCCGTGTGGGGTATTGGAAAGTTTGATTCAAAATCTACTTCCAGATTTATTTAGCAAATTGCTAATTAGAATGTACCCCTTTACTTTTGTTGGAATATAAGTACAATATTTGTAATACTCTTAAGATTATTGGGAGTAGCTGTGAAGCATAGTTTTCCAGATGTTTGCTACAATTTTGGGATTATTTTTTTACTCAGACTGTAGAAGATATGAAGTTATAACTGGGCAGCAAGTGCCATGAGATCAATTTTCATTAGTACTAGTTTCAAGTTTTTAGCCAAGTAATGTGTGTGTATGGTTTTTAAAAATCAATGAATACCAAAATGATTTTTAATGAACTGAAATATTCTTCATCTCCTTATCTCATCCCACCCTTTCCAAAATATTCCTTAACATATATATTCCTAGAGATGAGCCCATATTTTTTTAAAGTTTTGAATGCAGGAGCATATCTCTTACCTTACGGTATTTCACATTCTAATAGAACTCAGTGAGTAGGGAGAGTTACTTGACCAGACTCTGTTTTTCCTATACATATCTTAAGAGTTAATTGTACGGGGGCGTTTAATAGTTTATCACCTTTGAACTGATCACAGCCCTCATGTTATTTTAATTTTTAGAGAGTTAAAAGCTTAAAACTGAAGTGGGTACTTAATTCATGGTCTACTCTAAAGACTTGCACTTTCTAGAAATGTATGTGTAAATTTTTTTTTTTTTTTGAGAGGGAGAGAGAGTGTGGGGGAGGGGCAAAGGGAGAGAGAAACTCTCAAGCAGGCTCTGTAGCTTCTTGGGATCTTGAGAGCATGACCTGAGCCGAAATCAAGTCAGTCGCTTTAACCAGCTGAGCCACCGAGGGGCCCCTATTTAAATCTGAAATATGCTCTTTTACACTTGTTTGATGTGAGAGTTGATTATAGACCTGTTCCCTTTTAGAAAAGTTTGTCAACAGATTTACATAAGAGTAAGGGAAGCAATAGCATGTTCTTAATCTAGCAATTTCAGCGGAAAAGTGATTGTAAAAGGTGACAGTCTATCAGCAGAGAGTATTGGCCTTTCCAGGGTTTTCTGATGCTTTTCGCAGGGGAGAAGGAAGCACTAGGTAATTCAGCAATAACTAATAATAGCTGAACAGTCCATCTAGATTGTTGCTAGAAGGCTATGCTTGCTTGGTATCTAGGTCTTTTAAATGCCCATTGAGCAGGTTTAAGGGAATGATACCTACTAAAGGTCTAACTCAGCAGTTTATCTTCACCGGGTGGAATATATCATATAAATAGGAGGTACATTCTTTGACCAACAACACATGTGTTTCAGTAAAGTTCTTAAGGAATTTATATAGTCTCCCCCCCATGCAAAAGTGTTTTTATTAAAGCATAGGGACAGAACCCATGGGCAGAAAGAGCTGCCAAGGATTTAGAGTGTTAAGGGAAATATATAAACACTTTTTTTTAAGACTTTATTTATTTGAGAGAGAGAGAGAGAGCAGGGGGAGGGGCAGAGGGAGAGGGACAAGCAGACTCCCTTCTGATTGGGGAGCCTGACATAGAGCTTGATCCCAGGACCCCGAGACTATGACCCTAGCTGAAGTCAGATGCTTAACCAACTGAGCCACCCGGGCACCCCTATAAATGCATTTAAAAATGACTTAAAAAAAATTTTTTTTCAAAGATTTTATTTATTTGAGAGAGAGAGAGCACAACAAGCAAGGGGAATGGCAGAGGGAGAGGGAGAATCAGGCTTCCGGCTGAGCAGGGAGCCAGACGTGGGGCTCTATCCCAGGACCCTGGGATCATGACCTGAGCCAAAGGGAGATGCTTAACCGACTGAGCCACCCAGGCGCCCCTAAAAATGACTTTTAAAAATCCTCCCAGAAGAAAAATCCTGGATGAACTAATATAATAACTTCCAGGGATTTTTCTTGACTTTTCTAAGATTGAGAAGATCATTGGGCCATTATTTGACCTTAAAAAGTTTTTTTTAAGATGCTTTTTGGTGTTTGTGTGGAATAGTATCTACTTGCTCTCTCTTTAAGTAGCAGGGGAGCAAAATTTCTCTCCACTCAGTGCAGAATGCAGAGCTTCTTTGTATAAATGTTACAGTACCTTATAGAATACTGTATTTAGATGGGCCAGTTGATCTTTCCCAAAGACTAAAAAATAAGGAATATTTAAAATTAATCAGTGGTTAATTGTATTTAGTGACTAAAATTACCGATACAAATATGATGGCCTTTGTCTTTATAAAATAAGTGCTTGAAAGGCCTCTGTTAATTCTGAGAAGTTCAGCTTTGAGGAAATGATCTTGTGGACAAGAGAGAGACCTAATTCCTACTTGTGGCAGGGGTTTATCCTACTTATCTAAAGTTAGAATCAGTAATGATCTTCATGGTTTTGAATAGCTATATTCTAATCCTTAATATCTGTAAAATGATGGATTTACTTTTTATCCTTAATTTAAACAATGAAGCCATTCTCACTTATATTTTTCTTTCTTCCCACATGGAAATACCTTCTCACTTTTCCTTCACTTTTCTTTATCATCTTAGAAATTGAATTTTGGGTGCCACAATTATCCTCAAATACTTAATCTCAGTAACTACAAAAATAATATTTGCTTTATTTATAGGTATTTCTGACTTCCAATGAGGAATAGTAGCAATAGTCTTTTATTTACTTTGTGGTTGGTAAAAAGATTTTAGGGTTCTTTGTAAAAAAGGAGATTTTTTTCCCCTCAAGTTTGTTCAACCTCTTGCCAGAGCAAACTGGGCTATAGTACAACCTGGGAATACATTCTGTGATGTGATTTCTGTGAGTTCTGCATGCATCAGTGTGCCACTCAAGTATTAAGGCACTATAATAGATTCTCAGTGTAGAAGAGAGGAAGAAATATCAAATACACGATTAAAACCCATTGTGACCCCCATAGTAGTAGACATATGTTCAAGGTGAAGAGGTTCTGCTGTGGAGAGGGTAGAGTCACTAATTCTAGCAATGCAGAGAAAATGGGGATAGGATACATGGAAGACTCCATAGGGAACACAAGAGAGGGTGACATAGGAGTAGAGCTTTGAAGGCTGTCTAGTCAGATGGACGAGATGGAGGACATTTCAGACAAGTCACAGAATTGTGGAATCGTGGTATGTTTGGGGAGTTATAAATAGCTGGATGTGACTGAAACAGTGACAGGTAATGGAGAATGATGCTAGAGAGGTATGGCAGTGTGTTAGCGGAAATGCCTTTATATTAAAGGGAACAGGGGCTCCTGGGTGGCTCACTCGGTTAAGCGTGGGACTCTTGGTTTCAGCTCAGGTCATGATCTCAGGGTTGTGAGATGGGGCTGCAGGTGTAGGGCTCCATGCTCACCGGTGAGTCTGTTTGTCCTTCTCCCTTCCTCTTCTCTACCATGCCCTCCTCCTTCCCCCTCCCTCCTCTCTCTCTCTCAAATAAATACATAAATAAAATCTTAAAAAAAAAAAGGGAACAGAAATGGCCCATCATAAAAATAGAGTAGGTCAGTATTGATCTTTAGAGACTTGTCATATTGCTGTAGCAGTTGTTTTTGCTTTGAGGTAACCGTAATGTGTGTGAATTTAACATACCTAAATTATCAAATGCAACACTAATTTTTTTAGAAACATGATTAGAATGGAACGAACATTTGTGCAACATTGTGCAGTATTCTGTACTTGCTTATTTGGGATATGAGGCAGAGGGTCAGGACCTTAGAGAAACTTTCAGTTTGCATTGTAGAGACGTGCAAAAATGTTTAATGCAGCATTGTTTCTAATAGTGAAAAAATTAGAAACAAACTAAATGCCATCAGCAGGAGAATGTATAAATTGCAGTATATTCATATAATGAGATGTTATTCGAATGAATGAGCTGGGTGTATTAGCATGACCAATTTTGAACCAAATAAAAAAATGGCAGTGTGAAACATAAGTATGTTAGGATTTAAAGTTCTAAATCATGGAAAACAATTGTATTTAGTTTATAGATATGTACATATATGGCAAACATAAAAATGCACGGAATGGTGAATAGCAAGTATAGTAGAGTGTTTCTGGGGAGAGAGGGAGGGAAATGGGATTGAGGTGGGGTAACAGGTGACTTCAGCTATATATGTATATATACATATATATTCTTACATGTATGTAAGACATGTAATTCTTATATGTAAGAATTCTTTAGAATAAGGATCCGAAATAAATAAATATGACACATATTAAAATTTGTGAAAGGTGGGTAGTAGGTCCACAGATGTTTTATTATTCTTATATTTTTCTGAAAACGTAAGAAAAAGAAAGGGTCAGACAAAGCGATGGACAGAGGCATGAACAGCTGGGGGAGACAAAACTGTTTTCCAGCTTAGGAATGGACATGGCAGGTGTGGAAGGCCCCAGGACAGGAGGTGTTGGAGAATCGAGAGTGGAAAGGTGGAGTGAGAACTGAACGTGTCTAACTCAGCCAGACGTTCTAGCTAATGATTTCTTTCTCTTGATGTTTTTTAGAGAAATATGAAACGCAATGGGAGCAGGAATTGTTTGAATAGGCGAAGTAGGTTTGGTTCTCGAGAAAGAGACTGGCTGAGAGAAGATGTCAGGAGAGGTTGCGTTTACCTGTATGGAGCCGACTCAACCTCTGCCGCCACAACAGCTGCCGCCGCCACCTCCTCTGACTTACATCTTGTCCTGTGCACCGTGGAGACGCCAGCCTCAGAAATCTGTGCTGGGGAGGGAAGGGAAAGTCTTTATTTACAGCTTCATGGGGACCTAGTCAGGTAAGCTTGGAGTTTTACCCCTCTAACTTGGTCACAGTGTAAGTGATCTGCGTTTCTGCTTGGAAGTGGGCTTTAAGATTTTAATTGTGCTTAGAACTGATATTGATGATGGGATCACTAGGCTTGAAATAAGATTTGTCTTTGGAATGCTGAAATTATGATTCTTGGATTTAAAAGCTATCAGTGAAGGGAAGTTTGGTTACTTCATTTGGATGACACCACGGGTCAGATACCTAAATTTAAAATAAATATTTTAAAGTTATTTAAAAAAAATAGGGGCACCTGCATGGCTCAGTTGGTTAAGCGTCTGCCTCTTGATTTTAGCTCAGGTCTCGATCTCAGGGTCATGAGTTCAAGCCCCCCATGCTGGGCGTGGAGCCTACTTAAAAAAAAAAGTTATTTAAAAAAATAATACATGTAAATAGAATGAAATTGAAATGTGTAGAAAGAAATAGAATGAGAAGTATATATGCTCATGCATAAGTATGTTTCTATTTATATGTAAATTTAAAATTAATGGTGCTATATGCAGCACATTATTGACTTGAAATCTCTTAGAGATCTTTCCATATTAATATTTTTATAATTTTCATTTATTTAATGGCTGTATAATATTCTGTTTTATGAGTCTACCATCATTTTAGCCGATCTCCTATTACAGGACATTCAAATTGTTACCAGTTTTTTACTTCTACAAGTGGGGTTGCAGTGAATATTCTTTTACCTATGATATTTCTCCTATGTGGAAGTAATCTGTAGGATAAACTCCTAGAAGTGGAATTGCTGGTCAAAGGATATATGCATTTATAATTTTGATACATATTGTCAGATTTCTCTTCACAGAAATTAAACTTCAACAAATAATATAAAAGTATGCCTGTTTTCCCCTTAGTTTCTCCAGAACATGTTAGCATTAAATTTTATATATAAATATAGACACATACCCATACATGAGCGCATACTTGCTTGTGAGTAGAAATGATTGTCAACGGTTTTTAAATTAGGGAATTATAAAGTTAGCATTCCAAGGACAAATCTTTTTTCAAGCCTGATGACTTAGATTTTTGCAAATCTGATAGGAATTTTATTATTTTTGTCATTTTAATTTTCATTTATCTTAATGAGTGAAGTAGAGCATATTTTCTTTTTTTATTTTATTTTATTATTTTTTAAAGATTTTATTTATTTATTTGACAGAGAGAGACACAGCGAGAGAGGGAGCACAAGCAGGGGGAGTGGGAGA